AATGGAGAGATTTCTGGGTTAGGTAGTACACTTTGACGTTTTTCTTTTTTCTGACGTCTCGCATTATGAATGGATGAGCTTAAAAAAGAGACAGTGATAAATCGCAAAAGGCGTCTCGCTGGTTCGACATATAGAGAGAACATTGTTGATATGATTAAATAGAGGGTAAACAGTTAGGTGTGCCACGAGGTGTGCAGTGGATATGCTCACATACTCAATTCCTCTCAATGGGATTTTTTACATACTTATGTACGTGTAAGTAAAGAAACATATTTTTCAACCGTTAGAAAGTCTTTTGAAGAAGATCGCACTGTTTTTGTTACACAGAACTCCTAAAAAGAGACTTCATGAATCAAAAAAGTAAGAGGGAAATATATTCATAGTTTTATCTGTCTGGTTTATCCGAACGGTACGTTCGTTCAGTCCGACGAACACAATAGAAAAGTTGTTTGTGGTGATACAAGATGGCACAGTGTACCGCCTCTACCATTCTGTTTTAACAATTTATATACGATACTGTTTGTATTTTGGATTAGTTTTAATTCAAAATAGTCACATATCATTGTCATATCAACAAGTAAGGATGATGTTGAAGTAGGGCCTTGATATTTAAGTTTCAGTTGAAGAACACTTTTTTCTGAATTACCATGATGACATATATAGTATGAACATTCATCTTCCATTACCAGATGGCAGATGAATATTTTATTGCTCTTACAGACATTCAAAGGTTTGACGTTGACGATCGATAGATTAAAAATAGATGGAAATGGTAAACTTTCCACATTTTCACTGACTGTTGGTAATACTTTCACAATGTTCTTCGTCTTTAGAACTTGTTGACTGGCATTGAAAATTTGTTTTTCATTGAAATAACATTGATTTCCATCGTTCTGTCCACACCATTTTAATACCCTAACATCACACTTTGATTGGTCAGTATTGTTCCACAGTAAATCTCGTATCGTCAAGTAACCACCAACAGTAATAGTTTGATTAACTGTTAAAAAATTTACATGATAAAACAGATACTGTTCTTGAACAGATATGAGAATTTTTTGCTGCAGCTCACAGGGACTTTGGACAGCAACTCTATTGAGCCTCTCAGTTTGAAGCTTCTTTGTAATCATCCAAACGCACAGCCTTGGTGCGTTTAAAAGAGTAGATTGTAATAGCCTTCTGCTACATTGACCGTTTATTGTTGTCTGATATAATACGATATGAAGAAGATAAACCAGAAAGAAATGTTTATGATCCATATTACTTTTATGAAAGATTGTGGAATATGTATGTATTAACTATAAAAAAAATAAAAGGTTTTTATTAAGTTTTAAAAGAGAGAGAGAGAGAGAAAGAGGAACTGAAAAGTTTTTTTTTTATTTGCTTGCAAGATCGAACTATGTCAAAAATATTTCACCTTTCCTTTCAGAGACAAACAAGTAAAGAAGGGAAGTAAAGAAAGGTAAAACATGATATTAATAAAAACGACAACATCGCAGTATTCATTGCCATCATTATTTCGCTACAATGTGCTTGCAATTTTAATTATTGTCTCATATTTATGATCAACTATCGTTTGGTCTTTGTATGTCACAGAATACTGTCATTTTCTTTGCGTTTCCACTTTAAAGACATGTCCGTTGAAGGTTGCCTAAATAATTCCTGTTCAAATCATGGAGAATGTACTATTGGAGCAAACAGTTCACTATTGTGTCGCTGTGCACCTTGTTTTATGGGTGAAAAATGTGCACAACCATCGAGTTTATTCTTCTACACTTATGGACAAGTAATGTTGCTAACTGTTCAAACGTCAATCTCATCTATTAATTATTCTATTTTATATCCACTTGTTACTCTTCTAATGGTTACATTTGGCCTCTTCAATAATATAGTTGCTTTACAAACATTTTTTTGTAAATCTATAAAAAAGAACTATACTGGGGTTTATCTACTCACATTTACACTATGTAGCTGTTATGTGATCATTTTTTTCGACTTAAATATTTTATTCGCACTGTATCTATCTGATAAAACGAAAAAAACTTATCTCTATCAGTATATTTTCAACTGTTATATTATGTGGAATCTCGATGTCATCTTTCGGTCAATTACAATGTGGTGCTCGTCAATTTTAGCAGTTGAACGAACACTGATGGGCCTAATGTTTTTCAAATTATTTGGCAAGTCTGTAAAATATTCCATTATAATTGTAACATTTATCATTATTTTTGTTCCTCTATCAATTGTTCCAAACATCATATCAACCACTATAGTCGATGTCATGCCTTCGAATTCAACTCAGTCGTATAGTTGTGTAATTAATAGAACTCCGACTTTATACCGTTCAAATTTAGTTTTTGGTTGGATGAATCGAGTTGGCTCCTGTTTTCTTCATTTCCTTGCTAATATTCTTATTTTTATAAGTATGACACGTAGAAAAATCTATCTCAGTCAAGATTGTCAACCGAAACTTACGTTTCGACAAACATTCGTACAGCAAGTATCTCTACATTATGAATATTTGATTCCACCTTTGACTATGTTCATTTCTCAATTTTCGACACTGGTGTTCTTACAAGTACAAACATCGAAAAAGTGTGTAGAAGCAAAAGTCAGTCCCGTATCACATTTGTATATATTCTTTAATTTTGTTCAATATTTTCCTCAACATGCAACTTTTTTCATATTTATATTATCCTCAAAAAAAATCATGAAAGTCTTTTGGAAAGAATCTCAAATTGGAAGATGGATGCAACAGTTAAAGAAAGAAAAGATACAAACATCTTCAGTCGCTCAGAGTGCGAAGTGACAGTTGATCGATACATCTCAGTTGTGTGATGCTTTTTTTTTTGTATTTATATTACACTCTATCGTTTAAAGATAAAAACGAAGAAAAGAATTAGAGGTGTCTCAGAAAGGACGAGGACGAATAAGAAGCCAACTTGGGTCATAAATCTTTTTCAATTAGTTGGTAGCATGTCAGATGTAAAGAAACCAAAGGCAAATCTATTGGCGAAAAAATCAAGTCTCTTTTTTAGATTTCAAATCATTTGATACTTTTTATATTAAAAGTTTCATTACCTTCCATAGACGGCGGAACGTTTGGAATCTAGGGTAGACGCAACACTTTTTGATAAGACCCTTATCAACAGGTTAAATATGGAGAGGGTAATTTTTTCTGCTATACTATTCAAATAAAACACAATTAATACTGCTTTTTTCCAACTCAAATTTTTTTTAATTCTTAGTATTAGTTCTGATCAAAGATGAGTTTACAACTTATGGCAAAAAAAAGCTTGTATTCAAATAGCCACTTAAACTTTTGTCTTGATTGAATAATGACCTTCAGATATAATCCATCGGTTGCAAAATTTTTGAATCCGAATCCGGAACGGGAGTCTTCATGCTCTCAATATAATTCTTTTACTCCTAATTTGACAATTATTTCGAAGATACTACATTGTTTTTTTGATTAAGTTTTCGATGGCTACATTGTGGGTGTGGATGTGCATGTGTATGTATTCTTCTCATTCTATACCCACTCCACATCCTAGTTTGTATTTTTGTAAATATATCTACTCACTTCTCGCTTCTATATTTTTCTTCAGCTTGAAAGAAGTAGATCATTATTTTTGACATTGTATTTTGATATTTATGAACACATTAAACGAATGAATACAATTTCATAAAATAATTACGCATACTGAAAAAACCATTGATGAACTAGACAAAACAAGATCAATAACTTTAAAGTGAAGGAAAAGATCATCACAAGTCATAAACAACTATATTTTATTAGAACTTATCTCAAATGATCACATTATTTACAAAGCTAATTATATGTTAAAAGCTAAAATAAAGCTTTTTCAAATTTACAAGATTTTGATGAAGAGCGAAGCGTTACCTGTGACATTGAATACAGTTTTATATTTTTCAAAGAAGAAGACAAAATAAATGATTGATGAGTAAGTTGATTTTTCCAAAGTAATCAGAGTATGCCACATTCACGTGCATTTAGTAAGATTTCCACGTTATTTAGCTCATAATCAATGGTAATAAGATCCAATTTCCCATCGTTATTGAAATCTCCTGAAGCGACAGTCGGTTGCGCCAGAAAAGTTCCGCTAGCAATATCGAGCAATATACCTACGTTATGGACGCCACAATTAGTGACAATAATATCTAGTAGATCATCGTTATTGAATACCTATAAACTCCAGTGAAAAATGTCACTTGTGCTTGAAAAGCTCCGTTAGCAGGATGAGTAAGTGGTCAGGTGAAGAGAGACCTATCACTCTCATTCTCATCCATCTTGGTTCTTTGCTGTTGACGTCAATATTGATGAACTTCAATGACCGATTTTTTGGATAACATCCTATACCGATGGTTTATTACCTATGTTTTTTGAAAATCGATATCAATTTGATCTTGACACGTTGTTGAGAACCATTGTGACGAGAATCGCACTGAATTAAATTCAAATGATAACTCTGCTGATATTGACAGATATTCGATCCTTGAAATGACACTTTCCTGAACTGTCTCGTTTTCATACATTATATTGAAGTGTTGTCATCTCTATTTCCTAATGTGAAACATTTGTATTTATCTTCTGTCAATTTGAAAAGGGATCTGATTCGTTCGATTGATGGATTCAAATATGTCTCCGATACATCGTTTATGATAAAGTGTATTAGAAGTTTGTTTTATGAACGGACCAAAAAACGTATGGTATCGTATTTTTTGATGTGTTTATTTATTGTACACAAGTCTATATCTAGAAAGGTCAAGTGAGTGTATAATTTAATTTCGATTTTTTCCTCCACTACTCGTTCTTTTTCTCCGCGTATAGAAACATGCACAGCAGTTACTAGTAGCGTGAATGATGAAAGTGCATCGAATCTAAGAATAGTCGAGAAATGAGAGAACGAAGAAAAATCCTTTTATTCTATTCTTTTACTATCATTTTTCTCATCCATTTTACTCTTCTACTTCTAAATATGGGCAATTCAGAAGGTGGACTACGCATTGTCGAAAATTCCGATTTACTCTACGAGTATAACAAAAATGTTCGACCAGCGGTTAGTAAGATCTCTGTTGATGTATAGAAATAAGACGATTTCTCTTGTAGCACAAAGCGGTATCAATAACGACTCATTCAGCCAAATTGCACAAAGAAAGTACCGCAACGGCAGATATTCCATTCGATTGTATGTTTCATTGTGTAGAAAAGATAAGATTTAAAAAAAAAACCTAGTGAAATTTTTTCTCTTATGATCAGCTTTGCTCTTCAGTTAGAAAGTCTACTTATAGGAAAATACACTTATTAGAGGAATCAGAAGAAAACCTTGTCTATCTATGTGTCGAAAATGCGGAGAGAAACTTGATAATTTCTCAAATATTTTTCTAGTATCTTTTTCACTGGGTCTTGATTATCCTGCAAGTTGTCCGAATCTTCTTGCTGGCTTCATTCATATCAAACCGAATGATTCTTTCAAACAAGACAGTATTCTCACATGCACTCCACTATGTTTATACGTTATTCGAGGTTGTGGTACAACAAAGATTGCTGATGAAGGCCAAGTAGATTGGTCCGAAGATGATCTATTAGTCGTTCCTTATCAAACACAAGCACTCAATCATTTTGCACACGAAGATACGGCCTTCTATTATGTACATGATGAGCCTCTTCTCAAGTATCTTCGGGCAAAGCCAGCTGAGAAAGCTTTTACAACGACTATTTTTCGAAGTCATGTTCTACGAGAGAAAGTAGAAAGCATTCGAGAAAAACCAGGTAGTGAACACGCGAATCGACTTGGTACATTAATCGGAAATCCAGATATAAGTGAAACAAAGTCTTTAACACATACATTATGGGCATTAATGAATGTTCTACCAGCGAATTCATTGCAAAAACCACATCGGTAATTTCCAACGTTCTTTTAATCCTCTACAATATTCAGAATCACTATCTGCATTGATTAGTCATAATGCCGTAGCATTGGATTTGGTTACATATGCACCTAAAGGAAAGTGTTATACACTGATTGGTTATGATCTAAATGAAGATGGTACCATTCGTTCACCGACTCGATTAGAATGGAAATCAGGTAGTGCATTTACAACTCCTCTTGGCATGTGGCATTCGCATCACAATGAATCGACAGATGAAGATGCTTGGATTTTGCCAATGCAAGATGCTGGTCTATCGTTGGGGTGTGGGTGTGGGTGTAGGTGTCTTATCTTCATACACACCCACACCCACGTTCACACCACCCACACCCACACCCACCCTTTGTGATTCTTCTTTTTTTAGTCTATATTATGTTCTCAATCGTCATTTTTCTTTTTCTATAGGGATCGTACGATATTCGATTTGCTGAAGAAGAATGGAAATATCTTAAAAGTGAACATGCTATTAAAGGTATCATTTATTAAAATAAAAATTGTTTTTATCTTCGCATTTTTTGTTTATTTCTCAAATAAAATTTAAACTAGCATTACTGTAGTACCGTTAGACAACCATCATTAAAATATAAAATATGTTTTAATATTAGAGTTAAATATATTCTCTCAGTTAAAATAAACGGAACACCTTATTTTGTTCAATTTTTCCATAAATGGCAGTGCCATTCGGTCTCACATTTACGCCATTGGTACATCCTTTGTTAGTCTATATGCTTCCAAAGTGTCAGCGGAAAAGATCAAGAATACATTGAGATAATGGCAAATGTATTTATTGGCTATGTGTCATTGTGCTAGAAATTTGGCATTATCCTTGTTTTGTCGGTATTTATCTTTCTCTTCTGAATTATTTTATTTCTAACTGGTCCAGCTAGTAGTATTGATCTCACTCTAACACGTCTCTGTCTTTCTCAATGAGCCAATATTTCTCTTCCTTATCATCGCACATTCAACACGTTAAGTTATTCGACTACGATTCTGTGCAACGAACCGTTATGAATCGTTAATGAGCTGTTTTTTACAATTCAATGGTACTGCTGTAATGGACTTTCGATTATGGATACAGAAAGGAAATAGGAGAATAATCTTTTTCAAGACAGAATGCAATGTTTGTTCATGTATAAATAATTCCATACTCTGATATAAAATGTCGTCGAAACTTGTATGCATATACACGTTAGCTTATTCATACTATGACAAGAAGCGATTTAATTCTTTTGATCTTAGGTTTGAGTGTTGCTGTTATATAAGGTGAGATAGTTATATTGAAATTTTCGATGATTATAATTTTAAATTACAATAGGAAAAATATGTGTCAAACCTCCTTTGTATCACGGCCAATTAGTATGCTACCCATCAAATATGTCATCAATTTTGGGCATGTCACAATACTAATACAGTATTGAGGTATTGCTTCAGTCAGAAGCAACTTATTTTGAGAAAATAGCCATTACTTTTATAAAACTTGACACAAGCTTTGCGGAGTCGAGGAATTGATCAGGACCATCAGAATTCAAAAGAGTGGGGTGTGGGATGTGAGGTGTGGGTGGGTGGATGTGGATGTGGGTGTGGGTGTGGGTGTAGGTGTTGGTGTGGGTGTTTAGTGTTTGTAAGAAGATCGCAGGCACACAAGTACCGCTCACCCACAGGTGATATTCCTGGAGATTGACAGCGATGTTGAAAATTTCTAGACCAGTGTTGCTTCGTTTCAGCGTTCAAAATCGCTTTTGAAATATCTTTTCTTTTACCAAAATTCGCTTGAAAAATAGTTGTCGATCACGATCATATAGAAAACTGGAATCATTGTGGAGGAATATCGGCAGAACACTTGATTTGTTTTCATGTGAAAAGTGTTTTGTCTGTCTTTTGCACAATGTGAATCAGACTTCTTTTGGAAAATAGAGAACCATTTTTCTCTACGGCATTTTCATTGTTTTCAACATTTGCTGATTCAGTATCATTTCACCTAAATGTTAACTTTGTGCTGTTTTTCTTCGAAGTGGGAAAAAACCCACTGCTCACAGTCAACAACGTGCGTCATTCTCCATTTTCTTATCGAATCCTTTCTGCGCAAAAGAAAGCAGCTATTCAAGTGTCCCTTGTGCAAGGCAGAGACATTGACTTTCCGCGAAAAAAAGCAAAGGGAAGGCATGTTCATCAATAGAATAGTTCTCTCTGTGTGAATGATTCATGCATTACAAAAGACACGCTGCATCCTTGTCTAAGAATGATAAGAAGAGGGTCTACGGGATTCTGTTCGAACTTTGAAAATGAATAAAATATTTAGAATAGGTCGTTGATGTCACGCTCAAGATGTTGAACAAATTCTCTAAGAATCAGATTCAAGTACAGTGCATGCTATGCGAGACAGGGTTCAGTTGAATGCAACGTCAGAATAAAGATTAATTATCATCGAACTGTGTGCAAATATTGGATACTGCTGTGAATCTTGTAACTGTTCTTCGGACAGGAGGACGTGGCGGTTCGTCTTCTGTCGAACTCCCCTTATTAGTCATTTCCATATCATCGTTGTGGTATAGTGGAATCAAATTACGACCAGTTCTCTGCGGAACACAGGGTGTCGACCGCGAAGTGCGGAAACTTGCTTCGACATATATCGATTGGGAATCATGTTCGCCGGCTGGAATGACTCGGCTTCAATGACTTTGCCATGACGACATTCAAGTCTAAACTTCATGCTGTCGAGAATCGATAGACACTATCATTCGATCTCGAGACAGCCACCCTTAATCCCAGTGAATACGATTATTTACCTCACTTGACGTTGGGTTGGGCTCTGCCGCTTAATTGCAGTACACAGCATTTGATTCCCAAATAGAGACCATTTCTTATGGAAAAAATTTGCAATGGATTTCAGCTTGGAGTTTTCGTTGGAAGTCTGTGGCAGTGGCCACCAAAATGAAGACTATCAAGAAAGTGGAATCAGTCCAGTTCAAATTGGCAGTGACTGATTTCTTAAAAGTCTCTACCGTTCGATCGGTTTCTTCTCGCCAAAAAGCTGCGAAGTTTCAAGTTGCAAATTTTACTTGAATGGCTACTGTACGCGCCACGGATCCATCGCCCGATTGGGCGAAAGTTACGAAGCTAACGACGAGGATGGGTGTGAGTGTGGGGTGTGGATGAGCGTGGGTGTGGGTGTGATGAGGGTGGATGTGGATGTCAGTGTGGGTGAGTGGTGGCTAGGGTGTAGTTAGACAGCACAGAGACACTCCATCACCTACACACTATCTACACACCACACCCACACCCTACTTACGATAAATTGTTATTGGTTGAACAGACTGGATCCAATAAACGTTATTTCTTTTGTTTATTAATCGATCATATCACTTATCTCATTCTAACATAGGAGTCGACAACACTAGAAAAAGCCAATTAAATTAAAGTTGAATTAAGCGACGTAATTAGTTAATTCACAGTTAAATCGTCTCAAAATGATGACTTAATTCTGAATTAACTAATAAGATTGTTTTATTCAACTTTTATTTAATTACCATTTTCTAGTATGTATGACCCCATAGGTTGAAAATATTTGTGATTTCTTAACTTGAGATGTTATTGAACTTTAATCTAATTTCGTATCCTTTTTTTTTGTAATTTATATCTATTTATTGATGTGTATATTTGTCGTTTTTGGTTCGATAAATTGATTGTAAAAATAAATGTATTCATGAACAAATTGAAAAGAATACGTAATCAAGGGTAGGTCGTGGATACACCAGACAAAATAAAAGTGAACAAACCAATCACGTTGCTTAATTAGGTTTTATTTTGTAGTGTCTTTTGACCTCTTAATGTATGTGCCCTTTTTCTTTATATAAAAAATTCACAGTGATACCATTTGACGATAAAAAAAATGTTCGCTAAACGCTTTATTGCAACAGTCGAGTATGAACATTTTAGTCAAATTGATCGTCGATTTGTGAAGTGAAAAGGAAAAATAAAAATAAATTCTTCTTCTATATCATATAAACATTGAACACTCAATGAGGAGACGCACACTCGTTTATAGAAGTTCAACAAGAATAAAAGGTATGTTGGAAAAATGTTGAAAATAAAAATATCAAATACAAAAATAATACAAATATAGACGTATAGAAATGCGGAAAACGAGAGTATTTTGAAGTACAAATCTCCGATACTCTCACCTTCAATCTTACATGTTTATCTTCGCCTCATATTCTTGTTTTCGATATTTTTCCCATTCGACATTTTTCCTTTCTGCCTCTTTCCATCCATTCGAATAACAAGGTTCAACCATTCATATATTCAAATAATATTTATTCAACAATATTTTTTTTTCATGATAAGGTTATTTCTTAAATAAGAATAAAGAAAAAGTAAAGTTAACTTTTTTTTGCATTTGGAAGCAACTTCATGTGATTATAATATTTTAATAAAAAATGCTTGATTGGTAATTGTACTATTTCCAAGTCTAATAAATGTGAAAGTATTTCGTATAGTAGCATTGTGAATACTCATTCATTTATTATTTTTAACATTGATATCTTCATCTGTAATAGTGGTGAATTTAAAAAGCGTTGATTAAGTTTGTTATTTTCTTTCCTTTCATTTTTTTAGCAGAAACGACCTAAGAAATTGTAAAATAAAATAAAGAATAGTTGAGTATTAACATTTTAGTAAATAAAAATTGAATGAAATAAAAAAAAGTTTAAACAAGAAAATTTCGAAAGAAAAAATTTCGATGTTGAAATAATTTGAATATATTTTTCAGATAAAATGATTAGTAAATTGGAAATATTACCAAACGAAATATTTTTTAATATATTTTCTCATTTATTATGGAACGATATATTAACATCATTTTGGTTATTAAATAAACGATTTAATTCACTTATTTATTTAAACTTTTCAATAAATAATTGTGGAATTATTATTAATAAAACAAGTTTATCTTATAAAATATTTTTATCAAAATTATTTCCATTAATTTCTAATTGTTCGTCTCTGATTAATTCTATTCGACATATTCATTTGGATGGAACATGTCCACATAGTTATGATTTTTTTAATAAGAATCATTGTATTCAGAATTATCCTAATCTTAAATCACTTATTCTTGATCAATTTTATTTATCTAAAGTATTAATTAATAATTTGTGTTTTCTTATTACAGGCCGATTGAACGAACTTACAATGATCTTAGATGATGTTTTTACAGTATTTGAATTGGAAAAGGAACTTTTGGAAAGGGCTGCCACTCAAAGTAATTCATTATTTTTCAAACAGCTTTTTTTAATGAAAAGGATATAGAAATTACTCATTGTTAAAATTGATTCTATTTTTCAAATCAATGTTTTATTTGATGAAAAATAGTCGAGAAAAAACGCAATGAAAAGACTTTCCGATATCCGAAAGCAAATAACGTACGTTGTAAAATTAAATAACTATAGAGAGAAAATAAAACATTTGGAAAATAAACAGAGGGTTTATCATATCCATTCAAATTACTAGATTTATCTATTTCTAAATAAGAGATTTTAAATGTATAGATATTGGAATTACGATTGCCGAGAACTGTGGAAAGACGGGGACACTCCTTTTTCCAATTTTTGGAAACGACATCCCCGATGTTGAAAAAGTTGTCGAAAGTCACTGAAATTTCGGCTGCTAGTAGAAGAAAGTGAGATACATTCACGATAGAATTTTCAGTTTTATATGCTTTATTAAAAAAGAGTTATAACGAAGATACGTGTGTATAAAATTAGTGAAAGAATAAAAAAAAACTTTGTCTCCTATGATTCTCAAATAATCACGAATGTTTAGATTTCATAGTATGAAAAAATTTTTAGCAAATGCAGTACAATAGAGCGTCAAATGCTCTATACTTTTAGCCTTGTTTGAATATTTTCTGCAATTTGTCGAAATATTTTAGAAATACGAACAAAGTGAAGACCTCTATCTTTATCGAAATTTTGACTTTTTCAAAAACAGTACATTTAAGTAATGTGTAATCTTATCTTCATATGGGAACATTGTTCCAATATCGAACATTCACAAAAACTGCGTTTTAATACAGACTACTATCACTACAAATTTGACGAGAAACAGTTCTGTTCGAAGGGAGATATGCCTATATCAAGGTTAAAAGCGTACTGATAATTATTCTTTTTTTTTTTCAAAAAAAAAAGAAATTATTTGGAATGAATATTTGTCGAATCGTGGCTATATTTGAGATATTGATCATCATTAATAGACATGTCAATGTATTCGACTACTTTAACAATGAATTCGAATTTGAAAATCTTATAAAATACTTTATCCTTCGTTTATCTTATGAGTCACTATACTTTCAATCGTCATTCCAGTCGACTAGAACATAATTATAAAGCAACTATTCGATAATAAAAATTACATTGAAAGATCTAGCATCTTTTCAATGTGTATGAGTAAATTATCATTTTCGTTTCGCGTATTGTATCAAGTTGTTGATATACAAAACGAATTGAATACGTATAAACGGTGATGGAAAAACAGATGCTAGAAGAAAAATTCGATTTTTGTTCGATGTGCTATTTTATTATTTTTTCTATTGTATATTAGATACATTTGTAGGCGAATCAAAAAAAAAAAATAAACGTTGTGTATTATAAAAAAAAAATAATGCCAACAACTTCTGATAGTTGTATCACCATTGTGATGAAGTCTTCTAAGGAGGATGGCAATCTAAGAAACTTTACATTTGACCAGTATCATAATTAGTATACATACGATCAGTAGAAAAACATATATAAGTGCGGTTGATTTAAGAGCTATATCAGAATCTCAACGATAATGTCATAGATAATTTTTTTCTTGTTTAATTATTTTTCTTCTTTTCGGTTCTGTTGTTATGTAAGAATAGCATCATTTTTTCCAGGACATTCAAGTGTATTCTGCACTTCTTTCGTTCTCACCTGTTTTTCGATTTTTTTCGCTCCAATTGTATAAATCGAATACGATTCACCCATATACGTATATATATAGAACACAATAGAATTCATTCACTTCTATGAAGAAAAAGAGAGAAAATACAGATGAGAACGAAAGAAATGTAGAATATACTTGAATGTCCTGGAAAAAATGATGTTATTCTTACATAACAACAGAACCGAAAAGAAGAAAAACAATTAAACAAGAAAAAAAATTATCTATGACATTACCGTTGAGACTCTAATATAGCGGTTAAATCAACCGCACTTATCATATATGTTTTTCTACTGATCGTATGGACACTAATTATGATGCTGGTCAAATGTAGAGTTTCTTAGATTGCCATCCCCTTTAGTATGTGCCATAACCAGGCTTACCAATTAGGGAGGATGGGGCTTCCCTCTCTCCCCTCCACCCCCTCCCCCCAGAAATAAAACTTTGGAAACTTTCTGCCAAAGTTATTGAACCGGTGTATGAAATTTAGGGAGTACGATGGATGGTAGAACGACTCCGGCTGTTGTAAGTTGCATAGGCGTCAGGAGGCTACGTGTGCGAAGCTAAAAAAATTTTTTCAGGTTAGGAGTTTAGAGGTCTCCGTGCTCCGGGAAGGGTTTTCGGCAGAATCGACAACAAAAATTTCTCCAGGAAATGTATACTTTAGTGTATTTTCTTGCGCTGACTGTAAACTTGTATGAAGCTACTTTCTGCCAAATTTTCGTCCCCACCACTCCTAAACACAATCGACAACCATGACCATAACAACCACCATACCGAAAAATGATGGTTACGCTAATCGTATTTTAGTGTTGGCTTGTTACCTATGTCCAAATATGTTGATATTTTGGTAGGGCAGATTTGTGTGAAGGGGAATATTATATAGTTTAAAGAATAGAATTTCGAAGAAAAATAAGATTTCTTTTTTCATGAAGAGAAATTTAAAAAAATGAAAGAGAATTTGAATTGAATTTTTCATATTAAATAATAAATTAGTGAATTTTGCAAAGATCCTATTAACTTGAGTTTGTATTTGTCGTTCCATCATTAAAATCTTTCAAATTAGATACTTGCGCGTAATATTTTTATTATTAATGAAAATCTATTTTATATTAATAATAGAGAATATTTTCCGTAACATAGTAAGAAATCAATTAATGTTCAAGGATCTGTTATGTGGTATATTCTCTGAAACATGTAACTTAATTAATCTTCGACTTGATATTCCCTGCAATCAATCTTATTTGATTATTCACGATTGTTTATCGTTTTTTTATCATGCTTCAATTCCACGTTTTTTCAAAGAACAATATTGCTGTAGAAAACTTCGTTATGTAGAGATTCGTCTACATTATGCATGTTTTATTGAATATATTATTGAACATGCACCTTATATTGAACGATTATTGGTTTGTCTCAAGACATCATGGAACAGATATCAATTATCGGATTTGGCAAGTGAAAAATTTGAACAATCGAATACAATCTCGTCTAATAAAGTAAAGTTTCTGTTATTTTTTTGGTGTTCTTAGGAAAAATGACTCTTGAAAAAGGTTTATTGGATAGTGCGTATTGCCACTTTAGTCATTATTGAATATTGTTTTTTGAAAATAGAAACTTCAGTAAGAGTGTTGATTTGAAATGGAAATAAACTTCGCTGATGGATAGCATATTCGGTGGTCGAAAAGACAGGCTTTAGCATAATTGCAAGGGAATATATACAAAACGAAATAGATCTCTTTACGATATTGAGAATATTTTTTGTTTAATCTCAAATTCCGTTTAGAGACAACAAATTGAATACTTCTTATGAAAGCTAAAATATTGTTAAAACAGAGGCAGCGCGAACTGGAGGGGGTAATTTGGGGAGAGTACTTCCTAGCTTTTTAAAAAATCAAGAGCAATTGTCTTTCATTTTTTTGAGAAACTTCGCATGCGCTTGACTATCCCCTTTGGTTTTGAAAAATTGAGAACAAATTCTTCTGGCTTTTGTGAAATTTCGTCGAATTTTATCACGCTCAGAAGTGTCCTGATTATTAGAGACCACGCATGGAACTGGAGTGTGGATTCCCTATTAGATGAAAATTTTGGAATTTTTCGTTATGAAAAGTAGACAATAGTGTGTGTTGATTTCATAATTTAATATTCCAAGAACCACATCCAATATGAAAGATGTTTTCAGCTTCTTTTGTCTTTCGACATAGATAACGGTTGAAAGGATAGCCGCATTCGGCATCTAAATATAAAATAAGAACTATATATTTGTTTTCTCATTCTACAAAACTAATTCCTATTTTATTGAGTAATATATATTTCAAGAGAACATTTGTAATAGTGTTCTAGATGGCTGCCGCCTTCGGCAGTTGAACAAAAAATAAAAAATCTTTCTTGTTGGGTCACTCGGAAAGTCGACTTTTTATTACAAAGAATTAAAGATTTTCCTGAGTTTCGTTTTTGATACTACTGCAAAAAGTTTCCGTCTTCGGCGGTATGCGCGTCTAAGAGGCATACTAAAATAATATTTTTCATAGAATCATTTTGTCATCAGAAAATGATGATTTTGGATTGAAAAATTTTCGTTATGGGACTAGACTCCCAACGGATCCGAGGTTTTTCAGACCTGGACCCGAACCCAAACGTGATTGAGTAAACTTTTCAGACCCGGATTTTGAATCACACTCTGACTACTTTCAATGAAGTTCTTTTCTCTCTGAACTTGATAGTCGCTTCGAAAATACGACATTTGTTTTTTCGCTTATTTATATCGATGACTAGCATAATCTATAGGTTTCTCAGGTAATTTTGACAGTGATTTTGAAATAGTCGAGTTATAATTGGCTTTTACTCCTAAATACAGCCTGTTGGATTCAAAATCTTCGGACCCGGTCAACAGAAAATTTTTGAACCCGGATCCGATGAATAGAGAATTTTTGGATCCGAACCCGATGGACTCTATATGGGACAATGCAAAAGTTATACATACAAAAAAAGCAATGGAAAACGATTCTTACACTTGCGACGGAAATATTTTTAATAATCCCGCCACTTTGTCCAGCAATTTTTCGTTGTGCAAGGATCTTTTGAAACTGTTTAGGAAGTTTACACCCCCTCCTGATAATTCTAGAGCTCTTGCTCGGCGACTGGTCCCGAGTAAGAAGGTCAAGGGAGATTACCTGTCTAATCTTAGAAAATTTTTGTTTTTTTGATCGATGACTTAACAATTTTTCACGAATTTTTTAAAAATTTTCTAAAATTTCGTCACCTCATGTCTCATTGTTGGATACCGGTACCCTCGCTCCAAAAAGTTTCAGATGCACTTTTCCCATTTTCTTCCATTTGTGAAAATACTCGTCCACTGCTGTGAGCTCTTCGTGCCGCTCTTGTGTCAAAAACAATTAATAAGTTTTTGTAGGTTATAAAATATTAAAGATAAATAGTAAATAATACGTATATTTAATCAATATATTTATTTTTTTTTATCAGAAAATAAAAATAAAAATATTTGATTATTGATGAAAGATTTATTTTTATGCTGTTTTAGAAATTCCGAGCAGAAAAATTAAAATATCTTATATTAAAGAGTACGGTTGAGTATGATGGTCAATTATATTATTTAAAATGGTTTTTTAATAATTTAAATAGTGTTGAAAAGATCAAAATTCGTCTTAAGATCGATGGAACTTGTGAGAAAAATCCAATAATATATGGATCTATTGTTGATGCAAACTTTATTCGGAAATATTTAATGAATGATCGAATAATTAATTTAATTCATTTTGATTTTTATATTGTTTCCAAATGTAAATTATTGTCAAATTATAGTGAAAGAACAATTAATTCATTTAAAAATCATTCCTTTTTTATCGAACGTCATTGGACAAATGTTAAATGTTTGTTCGATGAAATAAAATTTTATCAACATCTTTCTTCTTCGCCATCTACTATTAATAATCTCTCAGAATATTTTCACGATTTAATGTAACAAATCTTTTTTTTTTTTTTTAGGAATATATTTATTTATTTTAGAATTTATCCAGATATTTTTTATTGGCCAAATGTGAAATATATTCAAATAGATTTGAATGAAAATGTATATTCGTATCTCGAACGATTTGATAAATGCTTTCCAAATGTGTCTTGTGTTAAATTTAATACGGGTAAAGATTTTTTACTGTAAACTATTTTAATAAACCGTTTCGATTTTTTTGTAAACTGACAAATATAAAACATGAAGTTCAATTTGTGTAGAGAAAGAAAGAATTTTCTAAATAGTATTTTATTTTAATTCAATAATTTAAAAAAAATTCAAAAAGTGACTGTTTATTTTCAGAAATTGGTTTATGGTTTAATAAATCAAATTATTCTATATCATCATTCGAATTGAGACAACTGAAACTAATAAATATTCACTTGCGATACGTGACCAGACTCGATTTTGGATTATATTTTCATCGTAACTCTGGTAAATATAATTTTTCTTTTTTTAATATTCAATAAGAACACAAGACTCGATCATATCTTGACAGCGATAGCTTCATAAATTTCATTTAATTCAATTATTCTATTCTGCAAACAGATTTGAAAAGAAATCGTATCTCATTTGTTTTTCATTGTTTTATAAAGAAAAGGATCTTGAAAAACTTCTGAAATTCAAATACCTTGTATTTTGATAATCATAAGGATGTTTAGAAAGTTTTCCTATTTATATTTAATAACGAATGATCATTATTAAAGTAATCTCAATTGGAATTTGTAAACATGCTTATGATTTATAAAGAATCTGTCAAACGTCTTAAAGTATTATTTTGAACATAATTTAATTCGTATATTAGTAAAAAAAAGATATGGTGTTGAGAACTGCACAAGCACAGATACAAATGTATTCTGAAAGAGATTAAAAAGTTGATTTCAAAAGCTTTAGCATTCTTTCAAAATACGATTCGTAGGCAGGAGGAAAATTCAAATAATTCCGTCCCGGTTCGAGGTATAATAGATGTTCTTTTTTGTTTTAAAGGTTTTCATCAAAGCTTCTTTTTCATTGCATGAATTTTTGATACTTGCTTCCTGGGGCTGAGAAAAGTCAGATTTACTGTCGATCGAGTCACCTTTTTTTTCCATATTTTGAACACTATGGCCATTAAAATGCTCATAAAAGAGAATGGAAGGGAATATGAAAATTTCATCAGACGAAAAGTTGTGCACAGAAATTATCTTTAATTTGAAACTAGTATAAGCTCTGTACTTCGTCTTACGACGGAATTATTTCGATTCTACTGGATGATAGGAAAAGAAGTCGAAAGTTAAGGCTAGTCAGGCATATTAGACTGAAATTTTTAAATTAGGCATGTCTTACTAGGATTATCCATTCCTGAAAATGTCAGTCCAAACAGTACAGTATATTCTAAGATGGAAATCATTTCCCGAGGGGGACCTGAATGAGAATGTTCGTTTTGAAATATTGATAAATTCACCGCGGATCACTTGTAAAATTAGATATTTTCATTGTCGCAATTTCTTTAAAACTGTGACGAGCATCTCAAAATAATTATGCTAGTTTGATCTAAGATCATTACCAATGGTAATGTTAAAGAAATTCTTGTAATGAAAATAGCTCTTCACACGAGATCTACTGTGAACTTATCAATGTTTCAAAATGAACATTCTCCTTAAAACATTCAAATAGTCGCTTACTTTGTAACCAAATCATATCAGAGTGCTCGTCACAGATCATTAGAGTTACTCGCCTTTACTTAAACAATTTATTTTATATATACTTCAAATACAAGTACAAAGTACCGTATTTTTCTACTTAATTCCAAGTACAAAATTTCATCTCAATGTATAAGTATAAGTATCAAATAACTTTTATAAAGCACAAGTACAAGTATCAAGTCCATTTTTGTAAGTACAAGTACGAATACATTCGTCCTAGATCTGAGAATGACAAGCCCAAGATGACACATAGAGCAATGAAAAAAGATCAATATGTCATGTATTGGAAAGTTTTGTACAATTTTATTAGTTCAACAATGATGAAATCTCTCAGAAAAATAGAGTTATTTTTTGTTATTATTACATTTAAAAAGAAACTTTTCTTAAGTATACTTACCGAAATAAAGTATCTATGTCATTTATTTGTGTATTATATAAGTATTATAGATTATTGTCTCAAAATAGAATTTTTATGATAACAAAAATTGAATAAAAGTATATTTTCAGCATACTATGAAAGATTCGTCGATCAAAATACAGAACGTGCAAAAATCCTTGCTCGTATTATTTCAATGCCCATTCAACTCAATTATCTTCGGATCGAAAATTTTCAATGGCTTTTACATCTTGTTGAATACGTAAGATTAAATTTGACTATTACATTCGTTTCGAGCTGAAAATGATAAATACATTTGTGATACCTATTATATCCTCTAACTTACTGAACTGAAACCTATTCGCACTGAGTATAATAATCAAATAGAGGCTAGGAGGGCATAAAACCGTATTTGTCCCCTTTCCCTTTTTATTTTCTCATCTAAACCTAATTAATTCATATACGGGATAAAAGATCATAAGCTCCTGCCTATTTTGATGCCAAATTCGAGGTATTTTTATCCGATTATTGGTGTAAATATGGCGTAATACTTTAACAAAATTCATGAATTCCAAATTCAAAAAGTTTCATAATTCTTATTATTCTATAGTGAGAAAACCCATTTTTGACACGCCTTAGTTTATTACAAAATTTGTTATTGATGCTATTTCAACTGACAGAGTTACCAACTAGAAACATAAACATTTTATGGAAACTGTTCACAATAGACCTTGGGACTTGTGGTTATCATTACATAACAAACTCTGTAGACATAGGGTTACCCCGTAGTAAAGACCTCGAGAATTAGGAGTACCTCTCAATAACAGGCCTGGAGGAGAAGCCATGGGTATCCCGTAGTATAGGACAGGAGCAGCTAAGGAAATCTCTATATAATATACTTAGAGGGCCAAGGTTACCTCCTAGTATACGACTTGAGCACTTCTATAACAGACCTTGATGACTAAAGAGTATCTCTATATAATAGACGTAGAAGACTGGAGGGTGCCCCATAGTATAGGACTCGAGGACCTAAGATTATCCCACAGCATCGCATTTGAGGGACTCAGGATATCTCTATATAACAGAACTTGAGCACTTAAGGGTACCGCCATGGTATAGATGTTTAGTTCCTATGGGTACTCGTAAGCAACCGACGATGTAATAAAATATATTCATTATATATACCCAATCTACCACTCACGACTGGTAGACTGGTTCATGTACACTTTTATCAGTGTTCTCGATGCACAAATGGGAGAATATGGGGAGCCAACTACTTCTATTGGATATGTGATGGAATCGTCCAACTGAAGATTCGTCTTGAAATATTTATTTTAATACAATTGTTTAATGTAGTTTTTCATGTGCTTTCTAATGATATATCATACATTCTAATAAGTAAGACTTTCTCGGAAAAAAAAACATTTTATGACCAGGTCACTTAGAAATTCCTAGATGAACTCTTGAACAGTCATACTTTCTCAAGTACAGTCATGAAGGGTAATTCGGATCACATTTTTAAAAATTCATTTTGTTTTTCTTCATTCTTCTGTATTTTACGTAATATAGAAGTGAATTTTGGATCACAAGTAGAACGAAGTGTACTCTATCGATTGACGAAAGAATCTTCGAAAAATCATGTATTGTAAGAAAATATGATCAAAAATACAAAAAGCAGTGTCGAAATGATCCGAATTATCCCTCATGACTGTACTACAAGGCAGTTTTGACAAAAAATTAGTCATTCGTTATAGCATAATTTGGTCTTTGCAATGATGTATTATGAAGAAATTTTCATATTACAATGAACATGTTACGACTCGAAACTATAGCTTGTCAAATAATTTTGGAAGATGAAAAAATGAAATACTTTTAGTATATCCTCAATGAACTCTCTATAAATTACTTAATCGATCTCAGGTTTTTTTTAAAACACAGTAACAGTCATGAGGTATTATTGGATAATATTCAGATTATTTTGAGCTTGTCTAATTTTCGAAATATAAGCAAGACAAAAACTATTTTCCTGCTTGTAGGATAATCTTGATAGCTACTGTATATCTATAGAAAATGAAAAAGAAAAGAAATATTTTAAAGTTGTAAGAAAAAGGAAAGATATCAAGAAGGAAAAATTGTTAAAATAGTCTATATTGAAAAGCAAGATATTTAATACTTGTTGTATATATTAATTTATTTGATCGTTGGAAATTTCATATTTATTTTTATGAGCCAATTATGATAATTGAGAATGATTTGTTAATTCTTTTTCTTGTTATATTTTTAGGCGTTTGATGAATTAAAAGAAAATGCATTAAGCAACGTGAGATACACGGAATTTTCTCTTCCAAGTTGTCGTCGTGGCACAAATGAATCAGTTCATCTTGGAAAATATCTTGTACCTTTTCTTAGTAAACATATGCCTTATCTACAAACATTGTGTCTTTGGAAACCAGATGATTTTCCTTGGTCATCAAGTAAGTGCTTTTCAGATGAAAAAAAAAAATTATCACGTGGGACACTCCAGAAGTTTTTTCGCCTGCTTCTTCTAAAAGCCTTAGTTTTGGTTCAAGTATTCTTTTATAATGCTTAGACATATTTAGGATTATGGGCAAAATTTCAGCCTTATAAATCTTATCCTTTTGTTGTTGCCCATCATTTGTTTTACGTGAGTTAGATGCCATTTTCTATAGTCTACATAACGGATGACTTATAATAAATGACAGAACCTTGCATCTCATATTTTTATTCCTAAAAATATTTTATTAAAAAAGAACAAAATATACCAGGAGGTGCAGCGTGAAAAGCTCTACGATTTACATAGAACTAATTTTACAGTAGCATATCTAGTATCCAAAAATTGACAAAGCTCTGAACAATAAAATTTCGATGGTGCGAAATCAATGTTTTTTTTTGATAAGAGACCAATTCGTTTTTTCTTATGCCATCTTTGTTTTACCTGATATTTTCTATTAAATAAAAAACAAAACACACCATCAAAAGCCGCATGAAAAGCTCTACAATTTACATAAGACTGCGTATTTTACGGTTGCATTTTTTTCTTTTCGAAATTGACAAATGTTGAACGATTAAGTTTCGAAGCCAGAAAAAAGTTGGTTCTTTGGTATGAGGCGAACGCGCGTTTGTTCTAATTTATCGCCTGATGTTATAGTTTTAAAAGAAAACAAAATACATGACAAGATGCAGCGTGAAAAATTCAACAATTGGCAAAGAACAGTTCATATCTTATATGCACCTGTTGTTTTTTGAAAAAAGCAAAATTCTGAGTAACCAGCTTTTGACGCTGCAAAAATTCTACACGAGCGAAGACTTCCTTTTCTTCGTATTTAATCTTTTTTTCAATCAGCATACTTTCTTAGAAAAAAATAGAATATGACGAAAGATGCAGCGTGAAAAGCTCTACCATTCAGAAAGAATTGGTTATTTTAATTGTTAATTTTTTATTTTTAAAAAGAAGCAAAATTCTCTGGAGTACTTTTCGCAGCAGTGTCGAAGGTTGCTTGCTAAAAATACTGTTTATTTTGAAACAAAAAAGACACAGTCAAGATAAGCTTTACATCGTAGATTGTAGAGCTTTTCACGCTGCGTCTCCTGGTATATTTTGCTCTTTTTTAATAATATGTTTTTAGGAATAAAAATATGAGATGCAAGGTTCTGTCATTTATTATAAGTCACTCGATATGTAGACTATAGAAAATGGCATCCGACTCACGTGAAATAAATGATGGGCTACAGCAAAAGGATAAGATTTATAAGACTGAAATCTTGCCCATAATCCTAAATATGTCTAAGCATTTTAACGGAATACTCGAACCCAAACTAAGGCTTTTAGAAGAAGCGGGCGAAAAAACTTTTGGAATGCTCTACGTAGTTAACTTGTTATTTTTATAATATTGTGAAAAGTTTAACCCTTTCAAGGCGACTCGATTTTCCTAGAAAATAGCTTTAACAGATTCGTTTTCATGTGGATTCACTTAACGATAAGTGTTCTCGTTGATGTTTTTAGTGTGTACTTCCAGTTGTTTCTCTTTTCTTGTTTGTATCATTACATAGGCAATTCTCTTTCACATTGAAGTGAATAATTACTTACAAGTTTGTTATTCTTTCTTTCTTCTATGTACTGCGCAGTAGAAATGAGATAATGTAATGAAATTTCGTTTTTTTTTATTTTGTATTCTTTTAATAGCATTATCTGAAATTCTTTCCTCTCGTATATATCAAAACAACTGAAATTCTACGATCGTTTATATGTTATTTGAAGAAATCGATACAGAAAGCAACCGTAACTCATTGAGTGATGTGATTGCTTTGGATAATAATTTTGCTAATATTCAATTTTAATCTTCAAAGTTCTGAAGAAGTTACTGATGATGATGTAAATTTACAAAGAAGGCTATATTGTCACAAACGGCATGATCATTCTGAAGTTTGATGAAAGTTTTGCGTAATGCGTACTTTTTGATATACCATTTGAGAAGCTGAGATCCGGTCCAAGACAACAATCAGCAAGCCATTCGAAGCGCAAACTCGCTAGCCACAAGCTCGAATGAAAGGAAGGATCTGCGCACAGTGTCGGCAGACGTTGTACTGGCTGCTATAAGAAAGGAAGGGAACACCAATCAGGAGAAATGAACTATGCTACAGGAAAGAAATAAGAACCTTCTGTTCTGACTGATAGAGTTTTTTGTCTTGATTGTTTTAACGAGAAACATCAGGCTATGCAATAAATGTTTCAAACAACAGCGAAGCCATAGCAAATGATACATTATGTGTAGCCTCATGTGTAAGAAAAGAAGGTGTTTTTCAACTAAATTTCTTGTTAAAATAAAGTGAGACCAACCGGTGGATCTCATCGTCTCGAAAGGGTTAAATAAAAAAAATTCTCTGTACGATCTCTTACAATGTTTGTCAAATTGTGTAAATGAATTTTGCATGCGACAAATTCATTTATTTAAATATGAAATCGATTGTTATTTAGTAATTTTTGTTTTTTTTTAATACAATTTCTTAATTCATTGTAATATCATTTAAATCTTAAATATAAACCATGGAAACAAATGAGAGAAATTTTGTTATATATTTATCTCTTCCGTGTTAAAACATAGAAGTCAAAAAATGAAGGAAGATTTTTATTCGAAAATATCGATTATATTTGCGTCTATATTTAACACAAATCATGTTTAAATAGTTTCTTTTCTAAAAAAATCCGTGACTTTAAAGTTTTTTAATTTCAGACGGTTTAAAGCATAATTGCTTTTAAAGCAAAATATGTTATGAGTAAGATCTTGTGTGAAAATTTATTTTGGGTGAGCATTTTTTTGATCACCAAAAAGTTGAGTTTTGATCACCAAATTTTTTAGCTGCGAAATGATCACCAAAAAATGAGTGTTTTGATCACCAAATTTTTTTACTGCTAAATGATCACCAAAAAATTAGTGATTTGATCACCAAATTAATTATAGGCGGCAAAATTAAAAAGATAAAAGAAGAAAAAAAATTCAAACAAATTAATGCCATATCATCAACAACTACGGCATCTCCGGGTATGCATCCCGTTAATCAAAGGAAATATCATAACAGAAAGCATAATTCTCTTATTCTAAATCTTATCCACATCGCATCAATCTTCACACCCAGAGCTCATCCACATCCAGGGCCCGCGCGAAGGGTCAAAGATTGGGGGGGGGGCGCGTGTAGAGAGATGTTTGCAAAACAACCTCTAAAAAGCGTAAAAAGTAGTCAAATTTTGCTCTTTTAACTGAAAAAAAACTAAAACATTTTGATTATTGGGAGGTCTACACCCCCCGCTCGCGCGGGGCCTGCCCACACCCACACCCACACCCACACCCGATTAGAGAAGTTGAGTTTTACTTATGGGAACATTTTTTTCCCTTTTAATTTGCTCAAATCTTGATTGATTTGGTGATCAAATCACCAATTTTTTGGTGATCATTTCGCAGTAAAAAAATTTGGTGATCAAAACACTCATTTTTTGGTGATCATTTCGCAGCTACACAATTTTGGTGATCAAAACACATTTTTCCCGTTTATTTTTGTGTTATACGAGAAAAATATTTTTTTATTGAAAAATTTATTTTTTTTTCTTTTGTTTTCGGAAGTTCGACCAGATTTTAATCGAGCACGTTATGGACTTTTAGCTCGACAATGGTCAAAATCTTTAAAAACAGCTGAATCGATTAGTACGTAAAGAAAATTAATTTAAAAAGAAAAATTAATTTTTTCATTTAGATAAACATGTAACTCTTTTTGAAAATGATCTTTCTCAATTAGTCGAACAATTGAAACAATTTGTTTATCTGAATATTTATGGCCATATCATTGATGAAAAAGTCGAACCTTATCGATTGATGATTCAAAAACGTTTTCCTAATACTTATTTCTCTATTGAAAAATCGAGATTTCGTCTTTGGATATAATTTGTTTTTTATTTTCTTGTTAGAGAATTACTGAATATTCAAACGATTTTTTTTTAAATACAAATTCATTTCACCTGTTCTTTTTGTGTCTCTTAAATGTTTAATGAATTAAAATAAATCTGCTATAAAATTACTTTTCGAATTCAATTGTAATCTATTGAAAATGAGATTAATTTAAAGAACAAAAGAAGAATTTATTGTAGATATTCGACCATTTTCATTCTTCTAATCAAAACTTCACTATGTAGGTTATAGAGTTTTTCACGCTGCATCTTATGGTATATTTTGTTCTTTAATATAACGTATTAGATGATGAGAAAATAAAATGCAAAACATGGCTATTTATTTTGGTTCACTCGTTATTTCAAGAAATTCCTAGGAATTTTAAGTTACGTGTATCTCTATGACCATAAGAGGTAGAAAGCTGAAATTCTAGCGTAGAGTAGATCTAGATATATAGTATATATACTGTGAATAATAGCCTATTCTGCCGATAAAACATATAACAAAGAAGTATTACTTGAAGGGATCAAAATTTAGGACACACCCTGTATACACATCTAAAATTCGACTCTAAAGTAAAAACAATAAAATATTCTCTTTCAGATATTTCGCACATTCAATTCATTCGAAGATTTTTAATATCATTTTCCATTTCAACGACGACTATTTTATAGAATCTAAATTAGAATATCTAAATAATCTCCAATAGAATTTCTGCATAATTCATTTAAAATTTTCAGATTATTTCTCTTAATTTCCATAATACATTGTTCTTTTTTTATGGAAAACTTCTCTTCTCAATAAAATTTATTCATATTTGATTTTGATGAAACGTAATCAGTTCGTGTATCATATTATCCTACAGAAGAAGTTGCTTGTAATAAAGAACATTTAAATGTTAATCATATTGATCATTGTTATGAAAGAACTGATTATTGTTCGAATAAGTGAATGAATGAATAAAGTTCATGAACATTCTCCTGGACAAGTTTTTATAGAAAACAAATAATTGAAATAAGTCGTAAAATTGGATTAAGTTTTGAAGAATTGTTTTCATTTATAATATTAATTCAAATAATTATAAAATAGTTCTAATGGGTAACGCATATTCCCTTGACTGTAGTCAGGATCTAAAACTCGAAATTGACTGTGTGTTTACTCGCAGAGTAACTATCGTTGTTTGGGTCATCATTTTCTCCACTATTGTACGGGCGATACAGTGTTGTCCGTGTCGATAAGAGGTTTTCCAAAGCACTCTATTATCCGCCCGAACAATGTAGCGTTGTCTCCTAACAATAGGAGAGAACGAGAAACAGAAGAGTAAACGTTACTGGGATCATGATTTTCTTCACTATTGTAATAACAACAGATAAGGTTGTTTGCAGCAAATTATAGAGAGCCTTGAAAACCTCTAATGGACATGGACAACACTATGTTTCATCCTTACAATAATGGAAAAAATCATGACTCAAAACACCGATCCTTTCTCCTCTCTTCTTTCTCCTTCTTTGTTATCTTAAGAGTAACAGAATTAGATAATTGTAATGTATTAACACATAGAAAAATACCCGAGGATTGAATAAATCATAGATCAGTTATATATGTACTTAAGCTCCAGTTCTGAATCGGCACTGATGCATACCTAATCCGAGTGATTCCATAATGATTCTGAGTGATTTTGTTGGTTGAAATCAGCTGTTCCCCCTTGGATTAATTCCTCTTAAACTGATAAAATAAGTTCTGCAACAAAATGATTTTGTCGTAATTATCTGATGAAACCGTTGTTAATCTATTCGGAGTTTTATTTAGTAGTGATCTTTCTTCTCTCTTGTGCCGATGCAGTCAGATTTTGTTTTATTCTTTACTAGAACATATTTTTGTTTGTCTTCATTGATTGTTTGTCATTTTTATACATTCTTCATTTTATATGCTGTGGTTTTAATATAGATATACAAGAGAAAAAAGTTCACGGAACAATATCTGCGTCTCACTAAAAGACTATAAAATCAAAAAGAATTCATTCTTTTCTAGGGTTGCCAGGAATATTTGTCATTAAAAATCAGTTTTTGTGAGTGTCTTTTCATGAATTTCTAATCAGATGAATTGTTATGTAGACCTGACCTCAAGTGACATCGAAAATCAGTGACGGTAGGTGTAGTCACTTGAAGTCAGTCTGACTTCAGATTATTTTTCTGCTTTTACCTCTTGCCTTACTTCGCACATCATGTTGCACTTGAGGTGTGGATGTGGGTGTGGGCAGGCCCCGCGCGAGCGGGAGTTTAGGGGGTGTACACCTCCCCAAAAATAAAAATTTTTCAGTTTTATCCGGCCACAAGAGCAGATTTTGTCCACATTTTATGATTTTTCTGCAAGATTTTTCTGAAAATACTCTCTTACACCTCCTCCCCAATCTGCCAAACACCCCCCTAATATTTGATCCTTCGCGCGGGTCCTGGGTGTGGGTATGGATATTCTCTCATTTACGCGCTCACCGACACCCACACTCCACATGTTAAGTATTAGTAGCTATTACTCTCGTATTTTTGAAGTCTATTTTTATTGCTGTATAAGACAATATTACAAACAGCAAAAAGTATCGATTATTAGAAAAATTCTGTTTTTACACTAATTCGATAAAAACTAAAGCATTAAACAAAGAACTACCAACATGAATAGATGACAAAAGCATAAAAGAGTTTTTTCCTTCAAAAATAATTATAAAAGTGATCAAACAATTGGGTTTTCAATATTTGCAGATGTTAATCATTTTTTCTCTCATTCCATCCCACCCTATATCTTGATAAAAACAAAAATTAATTTTAGTTATACTTTTCAACACAGATTTCGAAGTTGTATAAATACTGTTCGATTTTTTAATCATATGTAACTTTATCTTGTAAATTGTTTGATTGCTTTGCTTGCAATTTTGTGGAACTCACGTATGTTTTCGAAGAAAATAGTGAGTGTAAGTTTTCAGTTGGAGGTTGGCAGCTATCCACTCCCCCCCCCCTCGCATTATAGACCATAGCAACGTAGGCTACCATTACAGACAACCCCCCATTACAGACCTTGGCAACTTCGTGAAAAAAAGAATTCTGTTCGAAAGTGAGAGATAAAAATATAGCATTTTCTAATAATCGATTATCTTTAGAAAAGAACTATTATCTTTTGGAGATTTTAAATATTGAGTATTTTGTCATTAGTATAATGAAACCAAAGGAGATATGTGAGTTCCACATTTCAGCCCCAAAGGGGCTGCGTTAACAAGCTTTTGTCGATCATTTAGATGGTTTCTCATAGTTTCATATGTTTGTATTCTGTAAAAGCGAGAAGCAGTATTATGAATTGGTTCGATATCATAAACTTTATTTTGTATGCATATCACGATGCCTTTAAGCGAAAACAATATTTCATACAAGAATTGTTTTATAGATGAAGAAAATAGGATGTGACGCTTTCCAGAAAACACATTGAAATAATAATTCTTATTAGACATGGTGAAAAAGCTTTCGCCCAAAATGTATCGCTGAATAGTATGTAATACATATTTTTGGAATTCAGCGTAGCATTCAGCTTTGCTTCCTAATTATCATTATTTAAGTTTTATAGAGTTAATGTAAATTTTAAAAAATGGCCACTCTATTTAAGAGTTTTACATTTCGAAAGATTCAAATGACTGCTTCGAAACTCAACCTTTTTGTCATGACAACTCCTATTGTTCTTTTAGAATCTACAGTTTTGATAGTGATCGATACAAAATCGACTATTGAGAAGATTGATTACGAAAAAAATAATGTTATTGTATCTTTCCATCAAAAAATTAATTTAATTAGAATAAGGAATAAAAAGCTTTTTCGAACAATCTGATTGTTTATTGAACATGATATTTTAGTGCCCTCAATAATAAATCTGTTTTATCTCGCTTTTTCTTTCTCATACGTGGAAATGACAGGCATGAACTTATTCAAATATGATACTGATATGTATTAAAGAAAAAATAAACTAATTCGACCTTGATTTTTGGTAAACATAAAATAAAATATACATACTAAAAATAATAGTTTTTATGCTGTTAATCCACACAAGAATTTATCGAACTATTTGTTTTTTACGAATCAATAAATGATGCATGAAAGACGAATCATTAATGATCGTAAAAAAATATGAAACAGGATTTCTATTTTTGATTAATTAATTTCAAATTCGATTGGCAGAGACATTTCATTCTTTCGTTACTATGCTGTTATTTAGAGATGAGTAACTTTTTCGTATTCAATATGAAATTGACCAGAGATGATTTCACACTACCACTTTATCTATGTTTTATTATCGGAAAATCATAGTTATATATATACATAGAATGACGGATAATACGATATATTGGCACTATCTATGCGAAGTGATAGTGACAAATCCTATCGAGCGCTAATAGTGGATTATACCTAGCTAGAGAATCGAACGAGAAAATGACGTAAACATATCACAGAGAGAACAATGGATATACAAAAAAAGAAAAGAATTTATATCACCACTAACAATTCAAATTTCAAGCTACTATGATTGAAGATCTACTTGAAGAGTAGATGATCCGAGTTGGAGAACAATCTTGGACGAATCCATTCAGAAAAAGGTTAGATCTCGACCTCAAATATCCTACGTCTTGCTATTTTCATACTCAGGAGAGCTAGAGTCTAGCGAGAAATGAACTTCATGAAATTACTTAGTTACAATTTTTTATTTAAAAACAATGCTTACAAACATAGAAAAACTTACAGACATTTTGTTTTCTGCGTACGCTTATCAGCACTAAACCGAAACAAATGATTAGAGTCTAAGTATTCCTTAATTTAATTGTGTTGCAAATGGATCTATTGAATAAATGTAGCTGTCTCATTACTAATTATATGATAACGAATAACTTTCAACACGTTAATTATCACATTGGAAATGTTCAATGAAAAGATCGAGACGATTTCGACTACTAAAGTGTTACAAAC